GAGAGCGAGCACACACACAAGAGAGAGACTCTCCCTCTGTCACCCAGGCTGGAGTCAGTGGCATGATCTTAGCTCACTACAACCTCCACCACCTGGGTTCAAGTGATTCTCCTGCCTCCACCTCCCAACTAGCTGTGATTACAGGTGCAGGCCACCACATCCGGCTAATTTTTGTATTTTTAGTAGAGATGGGGTTTCACCATGCTGCCCAGGCTAGTCTCAAACTCCTGACCTCAGGTGATCCTCCTGCCTCAGCCTCCCAAAGTGCTGTGATTATAGGCATGAGCCACCACGCCCGGCCCACGGTAAACTTTAATAATAAAAACAAATAAACTTTTACTTTCTGGAGTAGTAATTTTTAACAAATGATTACTGTATCATCTTACCATATGCTTTCATCTTCAGGAAACACACTATAATGACTTCAAACTGTTTCTTGGTTCATAAGCGACAGCTCAGAGGCATATTAATTATTTTCCCTGAATTTCACTACCTGGCCTAGTGCCCACATAGGCTTAATCATTTCTGATCATTCATATGCTCAAGATCTTCTTGCAATTGAACTGATATTTCATTTTCCAGGAGTTTGACATAATTTGGGAGGCTTTTCCACAATAGCCACCCATTTCCAATTAAACATTCATAAAAACACAACCAACCACCTGACCACCTCATACCCATTAGGACAGGAACTATTTAAATTAAAAAAAAAAAAAAGGCCAGGTGTGGTGGCTCACACCTGTAATCCCAGCACTTTAGGAGGCCAAGGTGGGCGGATCACAAGGTCAGGAGTTTCAACCAGCCTCGCCAGCATAGTGAAACCCATCTCAACAAAAAAAAATATAAAAACTAGCCAGGCATGGTGACACAGGCCTGGAGTCCCAGCTACTAAGGAGGCTGAGGCAGGAGAATCGCTTGAACCCTGGAGTTGGAGGCTGCAGTGAGCCAAGATCGCACCATAGTACTCTAGCCTGGGCAACAGAGCAAGACTCCATCTCAAAAATAATAATAGTAAGGCAATCACAAAAAAACAAATACTGTATGACTCTACTTACAGTATGAAGTATCTAAAATAATCAAATTCATAGAGACTGACAGTAGAATGCTGTCTGCCATGAGCTGGGGGTAAGAGAATGGGGAGTTATTTAATGGGTATAGAGTTTCAGTTTGGTAGGACAGAGTTCTGGAAATTGGATGCACAACAATGTGAATGTATTAAATACTACTCAACTGTACATTAAAAAATGATTAAGGCTGGGCATGGTGGCTCATGCCTGGATTCCCAGCATTTTGGAGGGCTGAGGCGGGTGGATCACTTGAGGTCAGGAGTTAGACACCAGCCTGATCAACATGGTGAAACCCCGTGTCTACTAAAATACAAAAATTAGCTGGGCGTGGTGGCGCATACCTGTTATCCCAGCTACTCGGGAGGCTGAGGCAGGAGAATCTCTTGAGCCCAAGAGGTGGAGGTTGCAGTGAGCCACGATCGCGCCACTGAACTCCATCATAGGTGACAGAGCAAGACTCTGTCTCAAAAACAAAAAAAAAGAAAAAAAAAGAATTAAGATGGTAATTTTTATGTTTTTGTATATTTTAAATTTGTATATTAAAATTTGTATATTTTATCACAATGAAAATTTTTAAAGAAAAACCCAAAAACTTTCCACAAACAAGAGCCCCAGCTCAGATGGCTTTATTGGTGAATTCTACCAAATATTTAAGGAAAAATTAATACCAATGATTCACAAACTCTTCAATCACATAGAAAAGAAGGAAACACTTCCCAATTCCTTCTATGAGACCAGTATTACCCTGATTCCAAAATCAGACAACATCACAAGAAACTACAGACCAGTATCTCTTATGAATATAGACACAAGATCCTCAACAAAATAGTAGCAAACTAAATCCAGCACCTCATATAAATATAAGGAAAATACATAATGATTAAATGAAATTTATACACCAAAAAAATGCAAGGTTGGTTTAACATTCAAAAACTCACTTAAGGCCGGGCGCGGTGGCTCAAGCCTGTAATCCCAGCACTTTGGGAGGCCGAGGCAGGTGGATCACGAGGTCAAGAGATCGAGACCATCCTGGTCAACATGGTGAAACCCCGTCTCTACTAAAAATACAAAACATTAGCTGGGCATGGTGGCGCGTGCCTGTAATCCCAGCTACTTAGGAGGCTGAGGCAGGAGAATTGCCTGAACCCAGGAGGCGGAGGTTGCGGTGAGCCGAGATCGCGCCATTGCACTCCAGCCTGGGTAACAAGAGCGAAACTCCGTCTCCAAGAAAAAAAAAAAAAACTCACTTAAAGCAATATAGTATCAGTAGACTAAAGAACAAAACCATATGATCAACTCAATAGATATTATAAAAGGTACTTGACAAAATCCAGTGTTCATTCATGATAAAAAGACTCAATGCCAGACTGGGCAACATAAACACAGTAAGACCCTGTCTCTATTAAAAAAATTTTTTTTTTTTGAGACGGAGTTTCACTCTTGTTACCCATGCTGGAGTGCAATGGTGCGATCTCGGCTCACTGCAACCTCCGCCTCCTGGGTTCAGGCAATTCTCCTGCCTCAGCCTCCTGAGTAGCTGGGACTACAGGCACGCGCCACCATGCCCAGCTGATTTTTTGTAGTTTTAGTAGAGACGGGGTTTCACCATGTTGACCAGGATGGTCTCGATCTCTTGACCTCGTGATCCACCCGCCTCGGCCTCCCAAAGTGCTGGGATTACAGGCTTGAGCCACCGCGCCCGGCCAAAAAAATTTTTTTTAATTAGCCCAGTATGGTGGTGCATGCCTATAATCCCAGCTACTAAGAAGGCAGAGGCAAGTGGATCTCTTGAACCTAGGAGTTCAAGGCTGCATGAGCTATGATCAAGCCACTGCTCTACAGCCTGAGTGACAGAGCGAGACTATCTCTAAAAAATAATATAAAATAGCCGGGTGCAGTGGCTCAAGCCTGTAATCCCAGCACTTTGGGAGGCCGAGGCGGGTGGATCACGAGGTCAAGAGATCGAGACCATCCTGGTCAACATGGTGAAACCCCGTCTCTACTAAAAATACAAAACATTAGCTGGGCATGGTGGCGCGTGCCTGTAATCCCAGCTACTTAGGAGGTTGAGGCAGGAGAATTGCCTGAACCCAGGAGGCGGAGGCTGCGGTGAGCCGAGATCGCGCCATTGCACTCCAGCCTGGGTAACAAGAGTGAAACTCCGTCTCAAAAAAATAAATAAATAAAATAATAATATAAAATAGACTCAACAAACTAGGAATAAAAAGGAACTTCCTAAACCTGACAGAGTATATCTATGAAAAACTCAGTCAACATCATACTTAATGTGAAAGACAGAAAGCTTTCCCTCGAAGAACAAGACAAAGAATGTCTCCTTCTGCTACTGCTGTTCAATATTGCACTGGAAGTTCTAACCAGGGCAGTTAGGAAAAATAAATGTCATTTAGATTGGAAAGGATGAAGTAAACTATCTCTATTTACAGACGACAAGATCTTTTATGTAGGAAATCTCAAGGAATCCACTAAAATCCACTATTAGAACTGATAAATTCAGCAAGGTTACAGGACACAAAGTAAATAAACAAAACTCAACTGTGTATCCACTAGCAATGAACCATGTAAGAATGAAATTAAGAACACAATTCCGCTGGGCGCAGTGGCTCATGCCTGTAATCCCAGCACTTTGGGAGGCCGAGGCAGATGGATCACAAGGTCAAGAGTTCGAGACCAGCCTGACCAATACGGTGAAACCCTGTCTCTACTAAAAATACAAAATTTAGCGTGGTGGTGGGCACCTATAGTCCTGGTACTCACGAGACTAAGGCAGGAGAATCACTTGACCCCGGGAGGAGGAGGTTGCAGTGAGCTAAGATCGTATTACTGCACTCCAGCCTGGGTGACAGAGTGAGACTCCATCTCAAAACAAAACAAATACACAATGCCATTTAGTATCCCCCAAAATAAAATACTTAGGAATAAATTTGACAAAAGAAACACAAAACGTAAACTCTGAAAACGTCAAAATATTGCTGAAAGAAATTAAAGGCCTAAATCAATGGGAAAATGGTCCATGTTCATGAATCTGGACACTTAACACTGTTTTTTTTTTGAGTCTCACATTGTTGCCAGGCTGGAGTGTAATGGTGCGATCTTGGCTCACCGCAACCCAAGTTCAGGCAATTCTCCTGCCTCAGCCTTACAAGCTGCTGGGATTACAGGTGCCCACCACCACGCCCGGTGAATTTTTTTTATTTGTAGTAGAGAATGGGTTTCACTATTTTGGCTAGGCTGGTCTTGAACTCCTGATCTCGTGATCTGCCTGCCTCAGCCTCCCAAAGTGCTGGGATTACAGGCATGAGCCACCGCGCCTGGCCCCTACTGTTAAGAGAGTAATACTCCCCAATTGATCTACCGATTCTGCATAATCCCTATCAAAACCCAGGTGCTTTTTGTGCCCAAAGTGACAAATTAATCCTGAAGTTCATATGAAAAAGAACAAATTTGAAAGACTCACACTTCAAAACTTACTAAGAAGCTACAGTAACCAAGATAGTGTATTACTGGCATAGAGACATATAGACCAATGGAAGAGACTTGAGAATCTACAAATAAACCCTCACATTTATGGTCAATTTATCTCTGACAATGATGCCAAGATAATTCAGTGGGGGAAAAGAATAGTGGTTTAAACGAATAGTGCTGGGACAACTTGATATTCACACACAAAAGAATGAAGTTAGATCATTCCCCTTACATCATTCACAAAAATTCACTCAAAATAAATCACAGACTTAAATGTAACAGCTAAAACTATAAAACTCTTAGAAGAAAACTTAGGAGTAAATTGTGACTTTGGGTTAGGCAAAACTTCTTAACAAAAAAGACAAGAAAAAAAGGACAAATTGGATTTTATGAGAAGTAAAAACTTTAGTTTCAAAAGACACCACCAAGAAAGCAAAAAGGCGCAGTGGCTCATGCCTATAATCTCAGCACTTTGGGAGGCCAAGGCAGGCAGATCACCTGAGGTCAGTAGTTCCAGACCAGCCTGGTCAACGTGGTAAAACCTGGTCTCTACTAAAAATACAAAAATTAGCTGGGTGTGGTGACACACACCTGGGTACTAGCTACTCGGGAGGCTGAGGCAGGTGGACTGCTTGAACCCAGGAGGTAGAGGTTGCAGTGAGCCAAGATCATGCCACTGCATTCCAGTCTGGGTGGTCAGAGCAAGATTGCCCCCCAACCAAACAAAAACAGAAAGCAAAAAGCCCACAAAATCAGAGAAAATGTTTGCAAATCATTATCTAACAAACTTGTATCCAAAACATACAACAAACTCTTACATATCAAAAGACAATCCAATTAAAAACGGACAAAGGCTTTGAATAAACCTCTCTCCAAAGATACACAAATGGCCAATAAGCACATAAAAGATGTTCAAACGTAAGTCCTGGCATGGTGGCTCTAGCCTGTAATCCCAGAACTTTGGGAGGCCGAGGCAGGCAGATCCTGTAAAGTCAGGAACTGGAGACCGGCCTGAACAACATGTGATACCCTATCTCTGCTAAAAATACCACAAGTTAGCTGGGTGTGGTGACGTGCACCTGTAATCCCAGCTGCTCCGGAGGCTGAAGCAGGAGAATCGCTTGAATCTGGACAGAGTAAGACTCTGTCTCAAAAAAAAGTTCAAAAATCATTAGCCATTTAGCCATCAGAGAAATACCTATCAAAACTACAATGAGATACCTTCACACCCACTATTGACTATTATAAGAAAGGTAGATAAGTGTAGTGAAAATGTGAAGGAACTAGCATCCTCATATATTGCTGGCAGGAATGTAAAATGGTACAGTCACCTTGGAAAAGAGTTTAGCAGTTTCTCAAAATGTTAAACATGAAGTTACCATATGATACAGCAATTCCATTCTTTGGTATATAACCAACAGATATGAAGATAATATTTCCACAAAAAAGTCTGTACATAGTATCACTATTTATAATAGCAAAAAAAATGTGGATATCCAAAATGTCTATCAACTAATGAATGGATAACAAAAAGTGATATATCCATACCATGGAATATTATTCAACCATAAAAAAGAATGAAATACTGATTGATTCTTGATACAACATTGATGACCCTTAAAAATATTATGCGACTGGGCATGGTGGCTCACGCCTATAATCCCAATATTTCCGGAGGCCGACATGGGCAAATCACAAGGTCAGGAGTTCGAGACCAGCCTGGCCAAGAGACCAGCCTGGCCAATATGGTGAAACCCGGTCTCTACCAAAAATACAAAAAATTTAGCCAGGCATGGTGGGGACACCTGTAATCCCAGCTGCTCTGGAGGCTGAGACAGAATTGTTTGAATCCAGGAGGCAGAGGTTGCAGTGAGCCAAAGACAGCATCATTGCACTCCAGCCTGGGTGACGACAGAGCAAGACTGACTCTAAAAAAAAAA